TTTTTCTTAACGCTGTAAAATTTCTCTTAATTTAAATTTTTAAAGGTATAGAGTATTTTTGTCTGAAGCAAGATGCGCCATTTTATTTTTGTGCTGACCTTGCTTAAATTTCTGACAAAGTTAACTACAGTTCACAAGTAATTTTCGTTCATGTTTGTAAACTTTGTTATCAACAATATTAGAACAGTACATAAGAGTCCAACGATGTACCATACGTCATTTTCAAAGTGAATATTTTGATAACGGTTATGTATTGGCCAGCCTTTGGTCATATTCATGTCCTATATGGGTTTGATGTCAATATTTGAGACTTTTAACCACAATTTTGAGAGGAAGTACCGAACAATGTACTAGCAGAACAGGATGGCTGGAAAAGCGCGTCTTTTTTCTCCGCCTTTTGTACATAAAGATAAACTTCTTTAGATAAAAATGACACATGCGTTCGTAGATACGAGTAAAGGCATACTAATTACTACTTTGCATATAATTACTCAAACAGGAACGCTTGTCCAATTTAATTATTATCTAAGCTTTACAATACTTATTTGAGGCCCAGTACAGGGGTGTATTCAGTACGGCTCTCAAAATGCCATGTACTTTCCATGACACGCGTTATCTGCACAAACTTTAATTAAACCCTTACTTTCCTATACAAATGAAAGTATCCCACTGACTTGATATCTTAGAGTGGACTACTACCCCGAGGTGATAGGTGTGTTGAATTTCCTGCCACCACTTCCAGCGTTTTTTCCTCTTCACCGTCTCTTCACCTAGAATTGGCTTTCAGATTTAGATCCCCAAGGGTTTAACAGGACAATACCAAATAGGTTTGAAAATGATTGATTTTGTACTCACAATATTACAAAGTGAACTCATTGTTTTAACAAATTTATCAGAAGTTGTCAATTTAGATAGTGCAATTTGAAGAAGGCCTCAATGCAACCTATATACATATGCACTACATGCATATACACTTAAGACGGCATTGTATCTAGGGCCGCATGTGCATAAAGGCGCATGTACGCTGTGCAAGCCTAACAGTCTTTTCAGTTCTTGGGTAATCTCGAAAATATCGATCGTGTTTGTTTTACCGACTGCAAGTTTTATGAAGCCTTGCGTACTACCGCAGTGCTATTGCACTGGCACAGATAATGTATGTACTGAATACCGATAGCCCAGAAGTGACCTACTTGATGACATTTGTGTATATATATAATAATGAATCTACGAGAGGAGCATTGTACGTGTGACATCCTCTACTTCCAGTGGCCATCATGAAAGCTGACAACTACAAAGCCATCGATGGAAAGCAGGGTTGGTTGGCAGGAAAACTCGGGATATCCCTTGCTACTGTAGTGACGTTCATTTTAGGCGTCACTGTCAGAGGTATGTCCACAACTTGTTACTGTTCTGATGGGGGGGGGGGGGGGTTAATGTATGGACTGTTTTGTATTTATAAAATTATATTGTTTATCCGAGTTTGTGCAAAGGTATTCGGATGGCAACGTGAGACTCGTTGCTTATGCACTTCAAAACAGATGTCTTCACTTATTTGGGATGTTTTCTATAAATTTTAAAAGGAGTACTAGTATGTCACGGAGGGGGGGGGGGGGGGGGGGTTGAAACAATTTTTACTCAATACTTGTCTGAACTTATGCCCAGCGGGTATTTTCTGCACAGACCAGTGCATCTTATAAGTGGGCCTAGTCATTTGTTTACGTGACGATGGTACAAGGGAGCTATTGATTTCTTTTCTATTGAATACAGACGTCCATATTTCATATCTTGCGTAATTCTTGACGTTTTGAAGACAAAAGCACTCCAGTTCCAAAAGCCATTGTTGTACTGTATATCGTGTATAAGCAAGCTTTTAAATATGATTTTAGATTAATTGGTTAATTGGAAATACAAAAAAGACTGTACAGGTGGTCACAAAAATAAAGTCATGTCACGTATGGAAATAATATTGTTCCAGTTGTTCCACATGCAAATTTGCCCCACCTGGTAACTATATATATTATCTTAAGCTTTTCCTTCCAATTGTAGTTTAAATCACATTGAAAACGTTGATTGGGAGTATATAACGTTGCTCTTAGAAGTGTGTCACGTAGAATATTAAAAAACAAAATCATAGCGAACCGATGGATGTCAAACGTCTTATCTACTCTTGAGCAGGCTGCGTGGTCTTTGTCAGGTATTTTAATGTATTCTGGTTTATATAGTGTAAAGGTCAGTTGAAATGTACACGTCCAAAAGTCGGAAGCTCTATCGAGCAACGTAAATAAAACAATATATTGATTTGCACGGAACGTCTATCCTGAAAATTATCAACTAAACTTTTTAAATGTACTTATTCGCTCGATTCATTTCAACGTCAAGTTTTTACGAATTCAATGTTGGATTCAATTGTTCTTTTAATATTCACGAAAAATATTTCTATATGTCAGTATTTCCCTATGTCTGAAAATGTCTATCTATTTTGCAAATTGAAATTTCAGGCGACTGGTTGCTCGTAGTAGTGAACCTGTGGAAACAGTTCCAGCCTGAATACGGAAGGAACACGCCCTTTGGCTCGCCAGAAAATAACGCCACGGACTTGACTTGGCTAGAACGCTACCGATTACAAAATGTTCAATACTTTATACTCTTGTCTTTGCTGATATCCTTTAGCGTATTTTACTCCATTGGCGGGTATTTCCAATACTTTTACTACATCAAGAGAAGGGAACAGGTAATCTATTTCAGAGGTTTGTAGGGTTTAGTTAAAGGGAAATTAAGCGTCTTTTAATCAGACCAAAATTTCTATTGAAAGTGCAATGCAAGCAAACTATATGATAATCCAACTGTCTTAAGAAATACATTAGCGTAAAGTATGCAATCTTTTCATCTTGGTAGCGGTCAGATATACTCGGATATGTAGGTAATGAGGCGTCTGAAATGCTTATATCCCCTTTATGATATTGGCCATACGTTCCTCTTCAGTCTGAAGAATGGAAATGCCAACCAAATAAATTTCTCACAAAGGAAAACGAACGTCATGAATTTATTGCTGGTTCTGTGAATATGGCTTGCGGAGCTACTATCTCGGGGATACTGGCCTGCTTTATTTTGAATGGAGGTAAGACAATTATTTATCTAAATTTTTTGTACAATATGAGTCATGACTTCATGGAATTTATATTTGGTATGATTTATTCTATAATTATTATTATTATTTTATTTTTTGTCATTGCTTCAATTGTCCAGTATTACTGTTTTATTCATATATCAAAATATCAGAAAGAACCAACAGATTTGCTCTGTTCTCTGATGTGCGTATATAACAATAACTAAGTATCATATCAGGCAAAACACAATTTAATCATCCGCTCTAACATTCCAGGCTACAGCACGCTCTATTACTCGGCCTCCGAACGTGGATGGTTATACTTTGTTCTCTCCGGCCCGATCTACTATCTGTACATCGACGGCGTGTCTTACTATCTACACAGGACTTTCCACAACCCGTACTTGTACAAGAAGATCCACAAGCACCACCACCGTTACCACCAGCCTACGGCTTTCTCCGCCGTGGCCATGCATCCCGTGGAATTCTTCATGTATCAGGCTGTTATGGCTTTACCCATATTTACAGTCCCCATACATGCAGGTATGATTTTTTTTTTAATTGTGATTTCGATTCCGCTTTATTGATTAATTGATCAGAACAATAAAAATGGCAAAGTAAAAATCAACAGAAAGAAAGAGAAAAAAATGAACATATTTTTAAACAGATTACAGAAATGTTTTTTTTTCTAATTAGGTGTATTTCTGACGGTATTGATGTACTTCTACTACTACGGTATGATAGACCATTCTGGAGTGAAGATGGACGCCATTTGGCCTTGGCAACCGCCGTCCACTTTCCATGACAACCATCACCAGTATGTGTATACAGTGTTGCATTAATTTCACTTACAAATCCCCGAATCTTTAAGAAAATAAGCGATCGATCCAGTTCTTTCTTAGTGTTCAATATTCTTTTGAGTGGAAAAGGAAAAAATGGGCAACTTATCAATTAATTGAACCTCAGATCTGGAGTGATTTAATTTCAATACGTTTCATCATTCAACATTAATAACTGTACATTTTGAATTTCTGTCAACTCAGGTATTTCCACTGCAACTTCGGCTTCAATTCACTTTTATTCGACTGGATGTTTGATACCCTGCGAAAAGAGGGCAGAGTTTACGGAGAAGATATTTTTGGAGGAAGAGGAAGATCTAAAGAAAATGATAAGGAAAAATGAAGAAATTAACAGAATTAACACGATTATGATTTATAAGAATCAGTCTACTTTCATGCACAAGATTCGTCCAATTTTATTTTTAAACCGTTTTTTGAACTTCAATATTAGCGGCTTGCTTAGAGTTTTCCCTCTACGCGTGTCAGAGAGGAGCCTGCAAGCATTCTCTCAAATTCCCCCAGTTGTCTAATTTTATTTTCATCTTTTTATTTTTCAAAATTTATAGGACGTTGGCTGAAAATTAACCTGCAGAAGTCTATTTTTAAATTAAAATTGCATCAAATGCGTCATAAACGGTCGTAATTATATGTTATTCATTTATTTTAGCACATATAGTGTACGTTTCAAACGACACCATCGTGCCTACGCCTGATAAAGTTCTTGGTCTTCAACAATCTGGGAAACCCTCACCCACTGAAATCACTGGGTGGGACGAGATCGACATTTATCAAATAGAGACAAAGTCAAACCTAATGATTAGAAATGGTCCACTTTAACCTCGTAATAGAGGGCTGCATTCCATAGTATGAAATCAAAACCAAAATTATTCATAATTTCAACCCTTTGTAGTAATTTAACTTATTCTCATGTATTATCACATTCCCTATCACAGCATATTATTCTGTATCCTGGTGAAGGTTAATGACGAAATGCCATCTGTAATTTTCTTATCGCATTAAGATTTATGTAAAAACGGATCTTAGCTAAGCGTCAGAAGTGTTCTTACAGTGCATGACCGAATACCATGCTCCAGCAACAGAAAGCCAAATTCATTGCATGCTTTACGTTTATTCCTGCATCTATGTAACTAACTGACATTTGAAAATAAAAGAACAAAATTCTATTTCATTGTATCTGTGTTCAGTGTTTTATGTCTTATAAGACTCATAACAAGCCTCCACAGCAGATATTCCAGTCTCTTTTAGACATTGTCAAAAAGTGCCTATCAAGTGGAAAAAGGAGCCATTTCAGTCAATCTACATCCCTGGTATTCCAAAGCTACCATACTTCTTGTTCCAGTCTATGTACAAGTCCAGATCTGCCTCCGATACGCTGGCCCGCACCTGTCTGAACCCTGCCATGAAGTCTTGGTGGGTAATAGGTCTGACCTGGACACCAGAGATGAATTTAGATATCAACATATCAGCTGTCATGAAATATTACACAGTTACATTTTACTTAAATCTTATTCAAATAATAATAATAATAAAAGTTTTCTTAAAGACTATGTAAGTATATTCTCACGAAGCCAACAATTTGAAATGGAGTTCCTTTTTCTGAAAAAGTGGAGCTTTTTATCCCCTTTTTACCCTCTTGGCCTAACTTGAAAAATGGCAATTTTATTTAAAAACAAATGGCCAGTTCTACACTCCCCCCCCCCCCCCCCCCC